AAACCCAGCTTGGAAGTATATTTTAAATCGATCTGTGCCAAGTGGATTTAATTTACACAGTGGACCTGCCCCTCCCCCAACCCTCTATTTCAAGAAAATGAGGGGGGGGGGAATCTTTAAAACAACTAAACAACAACATACCACCCAGCACCAAGCCAGCCAGGGGCTGCACAATGTCAAAAAGCAAAGAAGCGCTTTTCTGCGCTTAATCACATTACTGATAGCCAACAGTTATCATCGGAAAAGTTGGCCAAGACAGGTTAAATAATTTAATAAGGAACTGCTTGTAATTATGTTATTTACAAGGTATGACAGAGGGTGGGAGAGGGAGGAGCTGCTCCCAGAGCAATGGACGGGTTTGGGTGACCCCTGGAGCTTGGAGTTTGAATTATGGAGATGGGGGGCTGAGAGGTGAAGATGGACTAGAGGAGAACAAGGTGACTTTTCACCCCAACACATTTAACTTTTAAATCCAAATAAACGTCTCGTGTTACTAGACCATCACACTGGGAAGAAAACATGAACTAATAAACTCCCACTCAATGGGCTTTGAAAAGGAGTTCGTTGCCATTGTTATAGAAAAAAAATCAATGAAATGATTGCAAGAAGAGAGAGAAACGTTTTAAAATGTACAGAGGGGGACATCTTGAAATTTTTCTGTCAAATATTAATTACCATAATTAATTAAGAGGGAATTCCAATCCAATCACAAGCCATTTAATAAAGCATATATGTCCTGTTCTAATGACAACAAACTATTTTACCAATCGCTTCATTTATTCCAATAAATATGGAATTCTCATTAGCATGTCTAGGAAACTGAATGAAAAACAAAAACAGAAGATCCATTTGTCAGTCCGCTAGTCTCTGAACCCCAGGACAATCCCAGCTGAGCACTGAAAACGACTGCAGACGCTTAAACTCTCTCACCTGTTTGGTCATTGAATCTATGAGGCGAACATACAGATCCTGCTCCGTCCTGACTCCTGCAAAAACAACATGGACACAGTCTCATCAGGGTTTGAGCAAGGGCACACGGGCACAGGAAGTCCGGGACTCAGGGACCGGGCCTCGTGATGCAGCAAAACTCGGCATGCCCTCTAACAGGCAAGAGAGAAAACCCCCATCGCTTCTCGCTGTATTTTTTTTCTTTTCCTAATCGAGAACCTTAAGACGCTCAGGGTTTGCGGTGGCTGCGAGCAGGCCTGGTTGCTACGCCCAGCGGGCCCATGTGGTCCTTTATTTTTAGAGAACAGAAAGCAAGAAGTGCAAACAGAGTCTGAACTCTTTCTAATGTCTCTCCAGGATTTTTTTTTTAAACTCATGCCCAGGAAATAAGGTGTGCTCAGTTTAAGAAGCTACCCCCATCTCAATAATTAACATTAATTTGCAAAATTGGAAAAAGTCACTTAAAAGTGGTGTTCAGCTGGAGCCCAGCATCGATCTCTTTTACTTTCTACTTCAAGCCCCACCGCTTAATCATGTGAAGTGCCATCGACTTATTGATCGTTTATGTTTTGTTTTCTTCTATGCCATGAGAAGCTTTCGTGTTTACATCCATGTCATTTTAGTCCCAGAATCTGAGTCCCTTAACCACCTCGGGAAAGGACAGCGAGCGGGCAGGGGCGGGAAGGCGGCCGCGGCCACTCACCGTTGCTGTACAGCAGCTGGAGTTTATAGTGGATGCCATTGTTGGTTTTCTCGTTGTTGGGCTCCTGAAAGTAACGATAAATAATTGCGTTTAGTGTGGTCGGCGCCCGGCGCGGCCGCCGCGCTCGGCCCCCTTCCACGACCGAGGCCCCCCGGCCTCACGCAGGGCAGGAATCCCAGCTCGCAGCGGCGCGGTGAAGTCCGTTTCCTGCTGGAAGCCCCGCGCCCTCCCGGCCCCGCATAGGTCCGGGGGCGCAGAGAAGGTGCCCGGCCCTCCGCCGGCCCGAGCGGGCGCACGTGGCGGCGGGGGCGCCTCGCCGAGCCGTCCCCGCCGCCGAGGGGGGCTCTCCGGGCCGCCGAGCTTGGGCACCGCCTGCCTCCCAGCTCTAGAAAGACGGAGGGTGTGACCGTGTGTTGCACTTACTTTCTCTTTCTCCACAAAGTCCACAAACGCGGTCCTTTCAATCTCCACCGGCTGCCCCTGCCTGTCGTAGAGCGCCAGCACGAAGTGGAAGAAATTGGATTTCCGGAGGTTGGAAGGCGGCTGCTTCTCGAAGTGCGCCCGCGCCAGCCCCACGCCGCTGCGGGAGGAAAGAGACAGCGGCCCCGTGAGCAGCGCCGCGGAGCCGGAGCCGGGGCCGGGGCCCGGGCCGGGGCGCTCGGGGGCGGCCGCTACGTACCTCTGGGCGGCCGTGTTGGCGTCCACCACCCCCGCCGTGTGCATCCACGAGCGCACCGGGTTCATGCCGCTGCCCAGCGGCTCCTCCTTCATGGTCGTCCCCCCGCGCGGAATATTCTCCTGAATCCCAAACATGAACACTGCTGGCGGCGGCGGCCGCGGCTCCCGGCCGAAAGCGCTTCCGCGAGCGGCGGCGCTCGGGGCTCGGCGGCAGGCGGCTGCCCTGGCCGCGCTCGCCCTGCTCGGCGCCTGCGGTCCGGCCCGCCGCCGGCTTCAGCCCGTCCCGGGCAGGCGCGACATACACCGGCGGCCGGGGGCGCCGAGGCGGCTGCACCGGCGGCGGCGCTCCGGAGAGGCAGGACGCGGCGGCCGCGGCGCTGGTTGTTGTTGTTGTTGTTTGCAGGCGCGCTCAACGTGGTGTCATCCTAGCCGGGCGGCGTCCGCGGCTGCAGGACACTGCGGGATCGCCCGCTTCTGGCGCGGCCCGCCTGCTCCAAAGACAAATAAACGGGGCAGTGAGTGCCGCGGCGCAGTCCCGGGCGCAGGCGGGGCGCGGCGGGGCCTGGAGCGGCGCGCGCAGCGGACGGAGGCGCACAAAACTCAGCCCTCTCTCCCCGAGGAATGGACCCTTTCCCGGGAGCCAAAACTCGAAGCCCCCGGGAGCGGCGCTGTCAGAGGGTGACGTCGGGGGGCGGCGCCTGCGCCATATATGGGAGCGGCCGCCCCTCGCCGCGCCCCTCGCCGCCGCGCTCGCCGACTGACTGCCTGACGGCGCCGCGAGCCGGCCCGAGCCCCCCCCCGAAAATTATCTGGAAATTACTTCCAACCTCCTCTGGCACTTCTGACACTTTCCTCCACTTCCAGGCGGACAAAGCCCTTTCCCGAGAAAGCCCGGGCTGCCCTCTGGGAAGCGGGAAGGGTCCCCGCGAGCCCATCTCCCCCAGGCTCCCTCCCGACCCCGCTCCGATCCACACAAGTGTTAGTGTCCCCGCAGGCCACCGGGCCGCCGGGGCTGCAGGGCGCGCGGCGGAGCACCGGCACTCCCGAGAGCGCGGCTTGTCCTCGCCTCGGAGGAAGCCCCGTATTTATATTTGATTTATTTTTTATTTTGTAGCACAAACAGAAATCCATAAACTGTCGGTTCAGCGCCATTGACTCTTTGATCAGTTACTGGGCTATTTCTTTCCCTTTTTCCCCCCCAGTCCCCGTCAGCCAAAGGAGATGAAATGCCTTTATTTTCAGCCCTGTTTATACTGCAAAGGTCCATGGCTAAATGAACAATAAAAGTGTACTTAAGACGGATCCTCCCTTCTCTATGCAGCAACGGGGAAACTTAGCGCTGCCTACATCAACCTCTTCATTAGACTGCAGCTTCCCCGAAAACACCAGCCGTTAAATACAAAGAAATAAAAGCACCCTATCAACCAGCAGCCCGATTTCCAGAGGCTTCTCTGAATCCCAGTGAAATAATTACCGAAGGGCACACCGCCTGTCTTTGTCAGAAAGAGTGGAGTTTACCTGTCAGATCTGTTTTACTCTAAGAGAGAACCACACCGTTTTACCGCTGCAGACATTAAAATCTAACACGCTT